AAAAACAAAAACAAACTCACTTCAAAACCAGCTTTCCATCTTAACGGGCAAGTTACCTGTTCAAATGCATTTTCTTCATGACTTTTTTTTCTTGGCTCCTAAGTGACTATGCCTTTGTCTTTATATCATGGCTGTTGCCTCCCTTGTTACACTTAACCTGCTGTGATGGCAGGTTTTTTTTTTTTTTTTTTTTCCTTGGGGTTTTTTTTTTTTTTTTAAATTGGGCTTTTTTTTTCTCTTTAAAATTTTATTTATTTCTTTGAGGGAGACAAACACCCCTAAGGTGTCTACACTTGATGATCCACGGCCAATTTGAGTCAGCCAGGATTGAGGGCAGACCAGTGAACCCAGTGTGTGTAGTGGAGAGACTTCGGGACGCAGCCCAGGGACCTTCCCATGTGGCCTCGGCATTGCTGCTTCCTGCTGTGCTACCGTGTTTGGCCTTTGGCCACGACTTTTGTCAGTACTCAGGACCCAGCCCTTGATTATCCTTGTTCTGGCTGTGGATGCCTCTGCCCCAGTTTACAGTGATACTGAGGGGAATGGCGGAGGGCACAGTATAATTTGATGCTTAGTTCTCTGAAGTGTGATCCAGAACACAACACCTCACCTGGGAATTTTTTTTTTTAAGAGAGATTTTTGCTATAGGGTATGTGCACTCACTGGAGCCACACAGGGAGAGGAGAGAGAGAGAGGGAGAGAGGAAATGAAAAATCATCCCCTGGGGGATGGCCACACTGCAATCCCTTTTCCATTCTCTTCTTGGGATTTTGGGCACACACACAATGCGACCAGGTGAGTTTCAAACCACCAGGTCCAGGACTCACAGTGAGCCATGTGGGAGTCCAGCACCACAACCGCTATACCACCTGCTGCACCCCTCACATGGGCACATATTAAAATGCAAAATTTCAGGCCAATGGAGTGAGGACTTATTTAAAATGCAAATGCAGGGACCAGCAGTCAGCGTAATGGCTATGTCACTGAACTCCCATGTAGTCGACTGCAGTTCGAGTCTCAGACCCGGTGGCTTAAACTGACGCCGGGCGCGTGTGCAGGCGTGCCCAAGATCCTGAGAGGAGAATGGAGAAGGGATTACGGCGTGGCCTTCCCCCCTGGGGGGTGATTTCTCACTTTCTGTCTCTCTGTCTCTCTCTGTCTTTCTGGTGAGCGCACGCGCCCTGTAGCAAAAACCTCTCCAAAAAAAAAAATGCAAATGCAAATGCAAAATTAGAGCATATTAAAAATGCAAAACTTCAAATCCATGGAATGAGCACCTGCATCTCAACAAGATCTCTATGTGATTCCAGTGCATGTCAAGTTTGAGAAGCTTTGGAGGAGGGCAAGCACATCATCAGTCCTTAATACAAAGGCTGGCGGCAATCTCCTTTCAGGTTCAGCTCTGGAATTTAGGGTCACACACAGACACAAAAAGGAACAGTATATCCTGCTGTGGATGGTCCATTTAATCCCAGCCTGGAAGTTAGTTTTGTTCTAAACACAGCTTGGCTTCCTGCCACCTGTCAAAAGTGTGTGGCTGGGTGCTCGAGGAGAGGCTAGAGAGCGGATAGTCTATCGGGTAAATAGCTAGCTGGAGCGGGAGCTCCCGATCCCCTCCCCCATCCCATTCTATGTTGGTGCCTGTGCTCTGAGCCCTTCTCATGCTCTGAGCTTTCATCTCACCACACTCACACGTGCTTGTCTGTCTCCTTCTCTAAGAAGGAGCTAGCAAAGGAGCTCTTTGAGGTGGAGGCCATGACTTGTTCACTTTGGGTCTCCAGCTCCTGGCTCTGGGCTGGAGAATAATACTTCTTCACAGTACAAATATGTGAATGGGACTAGAGTCCTACTCCTCTAGAAGGGAAATCTACATACAAGGGGACTTCAGAAAGATCAAGGAAAATGGGATGAAAATATCAGTTTATTTTGATGCAGAAAAAAGGTTAAAACTGGGGCTGGCAGGTAGCATGGTGGTTAAGGTGCCGGACTCCCACATGGCCAACCACAGTTCAAGTCCTGGACTTGGTGGCTTGCTTTCTTGCTTTTCTTCTCTCGGTTGTTCTGTGGTCAAATTGAAAAAAAAAAAAATGATGACAAATAAAATTAAATAAAATGATTTTTTTTGTAAAGAAAGGTTGCTATGTATGAATAGTTTTTTTCATAGCAGGCATTTTCATGAACTTTTTGAAGACCCTCCTTATATAGATCCAGTTTCAGTCTCTGTGATGCTCCTTTAAAATGAGGAAACAACTCAGGATATTCTCGCCTAGGTTCCAGAGGTTGGAGAGTGCTTCTTGGGCACGTTTCTGACTGGAGTTCTACAACTCTGACCTTTCTTGCCAAATGAAACTTCAGCTTTACCTCAGGCAAGTTAATGAAAATCTGACGGAAAGAGGGGTCAAAGAAGGAGTCCTGTCACTGACTCAGTTCTGTCACTGCTTAATCACTTCCAGTAACGATTGAAGCTTCAATGCAAATCCTCCCAGCACCCAGCCTTCAGCATTTCCAGGCCTCAGCGGAAGGTCTTCCAATTGCTCACACTTGAGTTTGCTCCCTCTTTTAAAGAAAAACCCTACCTTCTGGAAGGGACTTGGCACATGTGACCAATAAAGGAAATGTATCCTGCTGGATGAGGCAGGCAGGTGGAATCAAGGAACTAAATTCAAGGAAGTTGCTGACGTGACACTTTATTCCCTCCTGTGTCACTTCCCTCTTTCCCAAGGCTTTTTCTACTTGTCCTAACAGGACCTTGAGTTTCTTGGAGAACATCAAAGTGTGTACAAGGTGGCCCTCAGTCTGCTGAACTGCTTTCTTGAAAACTTTTGTTCGTGTTTTCTTAGAAACTTGAAGACTTTCTATAGGTTAGAATGTTTCCATTCTAAAATTTCCTTTAGAGAACTCCAGACTCTAGCCACCCAACCAACTGGCCTGATGGAAAGAAAACAGGTTTAAAATAAAAAGAAAGGAGTTAGAGAAACAGGGGGATGAACTAGCATAAGGAACTGGAGCAGACCTCAGTTCTAAACTGGGCCCAACCACCTTGAGATACATGCAGATGACAGAACCTACCCTGAGGGTCAGGGTTCTGAAGAGAAGCTGAGGCCTAGAAAGGTGGAAGCCTGGGCCCAAGTGGGTCAGAAGAGGGTCCTCCCTGCTGTCCTCATGGAGGGTGCCACAGAGTTGGTCACTAAGGAGGCTGAGGAGGGGCAAGCCACATTCCTTTGTCCCATTTCTCCAGTCTTCCAGTACTGACAGATTTGACACTAGTACAGGGGGAGGAAGAGTCAGGTCTGAGTAGGAAGCACTAAGGGTATCATTCCAAAATTGGGAATGCAAGTTTCCACCCTGGCTCTTTTGCATATGAGAGTATGGAATCTCCCTCTCCCATTCTGCCTCTTCCACTTAACTGAGAGATGAACCTAATTGATATTCATGTATTAGATGATTTAACACCTGTGCTCAGGAATTTTGGTGCAGAGCCTGGGGTATTTTTTACAGAGAGCAAATGCTTGGCTTCAAATGGACTAAGGCTACAGGAATGGGGCAGATTTGACTTTAGCTAGTCTGCAGTAATATTCTTTATGTATGGCATATCCATTGAGTGGCAGCTCCTTATTGGCTGGCCTGAAAGGTGAACATCATATTCATTAGTCTTTGACATCATTTGTGGATCAGAAAAAGGATAATAGGTGGGAACCAGTAGTTAGCGTAATGGCTATGTCGCTGGATTCCCACGTAGTCGACTGTGGTTCACGTCCCGGACCCGGTGGCTTAAAACTCACGCCGGGCACGTGTGCGTGCGTGCCCAAGATCCCGAGAGGAGAATGGAGGAGAAGGGATTGCGGCGTGGCCATCCCCTCTGGGGCGTGATTTCTCGCTTTCTGTCTCTGTTTCTCTCTCTGTCTGGTGAGCGCATGCGCCCTATAGCGAAAAAAAACTCTCCAAAAAAAAAACAAGAAAAAAGAAAAAGGATAATAGGTATAAGTCAAACCACACGAATTGTATTGATATACCACTCCGCCATGTACCACTCTACAATGTCATAACCTTATTCCTTTTCCTACTTAGATAAGGGATGAATTTTAGCGATGAAACATCAAGATGTAGAGCATCTAACGCCATGGTTCACGATACTGATTTCTTGTGAAATCTGCTTCTGCAGAATAATATTCAGTAGAATCGCTAGACTGATTGAACTCATTGATGAAAAGACTCAAAGCTTTAGATTCCTTTTGTACTACAAGAAACAAAAACTAGGAAGATTTAGAGATGGAATACATTTAAACAATATTTAAGTGGCTGAAAACAAGAGTGTATAAAAGAAGTGAACCCCTACCACCCCTGCAAGGTAACCTTGGGCCGGACATCCTCTCTGGACTTGCTTCTCCTCGTATGAAATACAGGATGTTGTGTAATAGCTTGCATTTTCCTTTAGGACTATGTGCCTGGCACTCTTTTGCTTTTTACGTGGACTGTCTTGTGCAATTTTCACATTCCAGTTAATAAATGAAAAACCTAAGACTCAGAGGTGAGCACCTGTTAACAAATGTCAGTGCAGTCCCTTTCTGAGCCCAAGTCTTTTAGAACTTCCAGTATTACATATGAGAGCTTTCTCAGCTCTGTGAGAATTCAGCATACTCATCTTGGCCAAAATAATTCCCTAAAAATGGAATTTAGAATCCTGGAGCAGTTTAAATCAAGGGGATGAAAAGAACATGTCACAGAGACCCTTTCAGCCACAGGCCAAGCCTCTTGCGGCTATCCCAGCCTGAGCCTAGCATTCCTGACTCAAAACAGCCCCCTCCCACACACTGGGTCCGGGGCTGCCTCCAAAGCTCTGCCAGGAGGCTGCTGTGCCATCAGTGTGAGAAACTGCTCCCTGAGAGAGTTCTGTGACAGGCCCTGGTGAATGCCCCCACAGCTCTTCACCTCCACTTGAGGATGGAATGACCCTCAGAATTAGAGTCCTACGGCAGCCCAAAGAAAATGATCAGGATAACTCTGTTTGTAAAAACCGGTTTAATAAATATACATCTTAAAAGTACCAAAATAATTACCAACAAAATACACTATGTACAACATTTACAGGAGGGTAACACAAACCTTGACAGGGAACGACTTTGAACCCCACACCGCCCACAGGTTTAACCACACACACTGGGTTGTTACACATCACAGGATACACCTGGATCTGCCACGCACTCCATGATGGTTCAAACCAAGAAACACAATAAATAAAGTAATGGTCCTTTCATTGAATTTTGGATACCTTTCTCCAAAAGCCCCACAAAGGTGAGGTTTAAAAGAGGTTTTCTTTAAAATCCAATGATCTTTCTTGTGCCCACACAAAATTAAAAAACAAAACCAAACAGAACCAACACGAGGGCTGTTCCACCATATGTGCATGTTCGGGCTGGGTAGCATGCAGTGCATTTACAAGTATACCCTTTGAATTTTTTTTTTCTTTTTTTCATTTTTTTTTTAGAAAAATAAAACTCTCTTTTTGTACAAATGTACAAGTCCATGTTCTTTCAGACACTTTTCACTTATAACGTCAGGCGCTGGCCTCCAAACACACAGTCATCATAGGGCAGCTGGAAACAAAAAGAAAAAGGCATTAACTTTCAGAGCCTGGCTGACGATGCTGGGGTGACGGGAGGGCTACTGTGGATATAGCTCTGGTATTCTTGGACTCCATTCTCTACTCAAATATAATGAACTTCATAGGCTGAGAGGATTTTCCTTTAATGCTCCTCTCCTAAAAAAAGGGTAAGCTATTTGGGAAAAAAAAAAAATCTACTCTTGGGATTCTGATTATGCACATTAATGTTTGCTGAGAGCCCTATGGTAAGAGTAGCTCTAGGGGCCTGGGAGGGAGAGGGAGGATGGCCACTCTCACAGCCTCCTGCAGTGTTGAAGATATCCAGAGAGACTCACCTCGTCCTCCGTGAACTCGGACTCTGTGTCATAGCTCTCTTCATCCTCGCTCTCTGGAAGCATCTGAAGGTTTTCTAAAGTCAGTTGGCCTAGCTGCTGCTGTATCCGCGTGCTTGGGCGGCCCCAGGTGAGCTGGTAAGGGGAGTAGCCCTGGTAGGTAACTCGGTTGACATCAGCCCCACACTTCAACAAGAGTGACACCAGGTCGGGATTCTGCAGGTCCACTGCGAGGTGGAGGGCAGTCCGGCCATTACAGGGCTCCTGAAACCAAAGGAATTGGAGATGCTTAGGGCTGAGCTTGGAACTTCTGCTTGCAACAAAAGCATGCGGAGTATGACCGAGGAGGAGCTGGACTCAGTCCACCTGCAGGCAGAAGCACTCACCTGAGCATTGACATCAGCTCCCAAGGACACCAACAGCTCCACGATGCCTAGGTAGCCATGGATTGAGGCTAAATGGAGACACGTGTGGCCTAGAAGAACAAGCGGGAAAAGGATGAGCACTTGCTCCAACCCTCACATCCGAAGCAGAACCTTTCATCTATTCTTTCCTGACAGTCACTTCTTCATTTTAAGAACCCAGATCTAGGTTCTGGATGATCTTAGTAAAGGCATCAAGTAGGCATTTAGAATACCTATTTTCTCAGCCCTTCACATGTTGGGAGCATAAGCTCTTCCCTGACTCCTAGAGCTGGCCTACCTCCCCCTTCCCCAGGCTGCCTGCCTCTGATGGGCGGGGCAGGGCAGGCTGACATACCGTTGTAGTTGGTGGCCTGCAGGATGGCCGGCAGGTGCTGGGTGGTGCAGGCCTGTGTCAGGACTCCCACACTGGCTAGGCAGCCCTGCTCACAGGCGAGATGAAGGGGGGTATTTCCTCGAAAGTCTCGGAGCTCAGGATCACAGCCAGCTCCCAGAAGTGCCTCGGCAATTTCTGGCTGGTTGGTGATTACAGCCAAGTGAAGTGGAGTCTAAAACAAAACAGAAAGAGGATAAGCCATGAACCGGACCATAATCTGAGTTCCCTTGAGCCCCAGAGATCTTTTGTGTGTGGGTACTGCTGCTCCCAGACAGGCACAGGGGGCCAGGCCAATACAGGGGTCAAGGAGGGTCAGAGACCTCATGGAGTCAATGGCATTTTCATGACTCTTTAGGAAGTTGGCCGCTATTAGTGTAAAAGGTCATGGCTGATAACTAGTGGCTGTTATCAAGGCTGGGGGTGTGGGAGGGAGGGGATGTGCTACATCTGGGATCAGAGAGAGACCACGCTGGGCAAGTAGCGCACCTGTTGCAGGTTGTTCTGGAAGTTGAGGAAGGCCAGGTCTCCCTTCACCTGGCGGATCACTTCCATGGTCAGAGCCTTCTCTTCATGGATGATGGCCAAGTGCAGGAACCTAGGGGAAGAGAGGGAAAAACCCCAGGGCTGGTGAGTGCACTGCGTGGGGCCCAGGAGGCGCGGCTGCGGGGGATTGCGCAAGGCCGGGGTTTCTGGAGGCCGAGGCCGCGGTGTTTTCCGTGAGGTTATTATGAGCTGAGTGTTCCTGGCAGGCGCCCAGGGACTTTCCGGGCCCCCCCTGCGGGCGGGCGCCGGCCAGACCGCCCCCCCGGCCCGGAGGACCTAGCGGGCGGATGGGGGTTGTGGAAACCCAGCTTTGGAGGAGGCACCTCGGAGCCGGACCCTCAAGCCCCGCAACTATCCTCTGCATCCACGCGCAGCCCTGCAGCTTTGCAGAGGCTGGAGGCGGTGCACAAACCCCGAGCGCGCTGCGGCACGCTGTCCTGGCTGCAGGCCCCGCGCCCCCCGCCCTGCATGTCCCGCCACCCCGACCCCCGGCGCCTGTGACACTTACGAGTCCCCATCCTCGGTGAGCTGCTGCTTCCAGGGCTCGCCCCGCGCGGCGCGGTGGCTCCCGCGGCTCGAGACGGATCTCGCGCAGCTCTTTCACCATCTGCTCGTACTCCTCATCCTTCATGGAGTCCAGGCCGCTGTCGTGGCGATCGTCCAGCAGCCGCTCCTTCTTCAGCCCATCCCGAGGACCCTCCATGGCCCAGTCCTGGGCGCGCTCGGCCGACTGAAACATGGCGGTGTGGGCTCTGGCGCTGCTACCCAGGTGCGCTCGGCCGCAGGCTGCGCGCTGCTTGCTCGCTGTGTCGCTGGCTGGCGGGACGGCTGGCTCGGACTGTTGTGGGCTCGGCAGCGCCGCCGCGGCGCCCTATAAACGCTGGCAGGGGATTTCTCTGGGGCGGGGTTAGGCACGGGGAATTTCCAAGCCAGTCAGACCAGAAAAGAGAACTGGCCTCGTCCTCTGCCAGCGGGGAAAAGAAGTCTAAACCTCGAGCCGGGGTTCATCAGAGAAACTCCCTGCGATGAGCCACTGGGGTCATGTACAGGGAACTTTTTGATGAGCGCTGAGTGGCTGGAAAGTCCTCCCGACAGGTCCCCCTCCCCCAGGTACTTCCCTGCAGACTGCACTCAGTAACCCCGTCCCTCTGCAAGAAACCCTCTTTCACTGGGATTTCTTTTTTTTCCTGGGATTTCCCACGATCAATTTGATTTGGGGTCTTTGGCTGCAGAGTTCCCAAGGACGCAGACGTGACAGACAGTTCCTTTTTGGGGTTTGCCGACCCTTTCCGTTTTCTGATCTTTTTGAAAACGCAAGAGTGGAAATGAGGGCTGCCTGTAGGGATCTGCTTTCCTTAAACTTACCTCTGCGGGGCAGGACAAACTGGCGGTTAGAAGGTCGCAGGCAGCCGCTGCATTTCTGCGAATTTTCCAAGCTCTTTGCAGTTCTGGGACATTTAACTCCCCTACACTCCCGGCCTCCTTACGCAGAAGTTGTGGAAACTTCGGTGTTGAGAGCCCCTAAATGCTTGGGGGAACCCTTAAAATAATTTCCTAGTGATTAACAAGCTCACAGGCTGGGGAAGGGGCGAGCTCTCTTGCCTTGCATGGCGAAAGTGCTAAATAGGACCATGATTTTTTTCCTCCCCTTCTTTCAAGAAGAGCAAGGCGTTACTATTTGTAGTGGGGGTTGCAGGTATCTCGCAATAACAAAATAATGATTGAGTTCATGCGCTCTGATTTACACTGTGTTGTTGCAGAGAATGGATCCTGAGTCTACTTTTGGGTGGAAATCCAGCTGAGCGATTTTCCAGGAGCACTTGGAGAAGGAGGCTGAAGAATGGGTTGAGTAGTTAGTGGAAGGATGGCCAGGAAAGGAGCTGCTCTTTGGATCCAGGCGCCCCTAATACTGCGCCCATCCTGGCCCCTCCCCCCTCCTAAGTTCCCCACCCCTGGGAAAAGGTAGCAGTGTGGGTAGCCACTCTGGAAAGTAAAGGGGTTTGAGCTCACCATCCTATGGTTTCACCTGCAGAAATGGAATTCGTGCTCCCCACCCCCACCTCCTATTCTGCAAGCCACAGATTGGATTTATCTGCTTCTAGGATTGGTCCAGGCAAAATAAAACAAGATCTGTCCGAGTTCTTCAGAATTGACCCCAGGAAGCCTCCAAAGTTCTGCAGACATTTCTAGTGACCACTGCAATCATCTTTGCCGTGACTGGCCCTGTACTAGTCAGCCATCCCCCTGTCCTCACAGCTCCTCCTCCAATGTTAAAGTAAGGAATTCAAGTTCATAGCATGAGAGACAAAATATAAAAGGAAAAAGGAAAACTAAAATCAAGAAATAAAACCTTCGGAGTAGTAATGAGCACCATGGTAAAACAAAAGCTTCCCAGGGAAAATTCCATGGTCTCTGCAGGCTTACAACATGCAAACAGACAATTATCGAGGCAAGGTGAAGCGACAAATCCTAAGTGGGAGATCTCAGTTCCAGGTTCTACCTCTAATTAATTGCATGTTAGTTAGGCCAGTTGACTTTTTCCATGGTATACTTGGTTTTATAGTAATCAGATTGGATTTAATATTATTTGAAGTCTTTTCCAACTTAAAAATTGTATGTGACAAGTAAAAAGTGTATGTGACAAGTATGTCCACAAACGCATGTCTAACCCTGCTTTGTAAGGGTGGCTATGTCTCTTAGAAATATCGTAGTGTACATTTTGGTAAGAATTCCAATACTTTATGTATCATATTGTTAGTTCTCAGAACTAATCTTATAAGATATTAGGTATGGTTCCTCCTTTCCAAAATAGAAACTGAAATGCATAGAAATTTACTCAGGCAGTTATCTGATTTCTATCCCAATAGATTAATCATTGGCTGAAGCAGTTGTAGTATTAATTTTGAAAAGTACATTGTAAAAATGTACTTAATATAACATAGTTTGGAATACATGCAAATATTTTCTATTCCAACTGTTAGGTTAAATAATAGGAAAGTTAGGACCGGCAGTTAGCGTAATGGCTATGTCGCTGGATTCCCATGGAGTCGACTGCAGTTCACGTCCTGGACCCGGTGACTTAAAACTCACACCAGGCGCATGTGAGTGCGTGCCTAAGATCCTGAAAGGAGAATGGAGGAGAAGGGATTGCAGCATGGCCATCCCCCCTGGGGGGATGATTTCTCACTTTCTGTCTCTCTGTCTCTCTCTGTCTGGCAAGCATATGTGCCCTATAGCAAAAACCTCTATAAAAAAATAGGAAAGCTGTCCCCTGTCTAGGGATATTCACTTAAAAATTATACAGAAGTGTTAAACTTTGCCCTGTTTATAAAATGTTTATTAGAAGAGGATTTTTAGCAGGTATAAAAATTATTATTAAAAAGTGACAAGTGTCAGGCCAGCTAGTAGCATGGTAGTTGGGGCAGCTGGCCGATTATGCAGTTTGAGTCCTAGATTACGTAGCTCGAAGGACATGCTGGGTGCATGTGCGTGCGTGCGTGCCCAAAATCCTGAGAGGACAATGGAGGAGAAGGGATTGTGCTCTACCTTCCTCCCTGGGGGGTGATTTCTCACTTTCTCTCTCTCTGTCCTTCTCTGGCAAGTTCACATGCCCTATAGCAAAAACTATTTAAAAAATTAATTTGAAAAAAGTATTTAGGAATAAGTTTGTACCTCCTTTTATGGTTTTACATTCCCGATAGCCTCCAGGACCTAGTGGTCTTTATTCCTGGTTAGTGTGACACCTAGTGGTAAGAGCTAGGCCCAGGCAGTCCTTGATTTGTCATAGTGCCGTTTGACAACTTTGGGAGGTGCTGAGGCTTGGTGACTTGTCCCAATCAATGGTGGATTCCCAAGGAGGTACCTTTTGTTTTCCTGTAACCCTGGGAGACTGTTTTAGATAATGTAATCCAACAGGTTTTCTCCCCATCATATATAGTTCCATATGGCTTAAGTCAACACACGTTCCAGCTTAGATGAAAAACAATACACTTGGAAATCAGAACCATGAGCAGATTGGGCAGAAGATGACCATGAAAGGATCTGATTTTTTTTTCCCCACCCTTGTGGATCCTTAGCACTTTGATTTCTCACCACCTTGTCCTTGAACATTTTAGCTAACCTTAGCCATTTCAAAATATTAAGACCTTAGATAACTATAGCTTTTAATGGTATTTGACTTTTTCCCTTTTAATGCAGAAGGCAAAAGAATAAGTTACACCTCAAAGCTGCTTTGTAGTGCAGCCCAGGATGCCACAGGGGAGGATGATAGGATGGCTATCGGTGCTCTGGGGCCTCATGGGGTGGGGGGTGCAGGAGCACCCCATGGGAACATTAGTGTCATCAGGGTCTGGTGTGCCTCCAGGCATTTTGAACACTCTCTCTGGATGGAAAATGCACAGTATGGACTAATCCTACTGCCTAAAGTGCTGGTCTGGCAGTAAAGAGGTTTTCTGCAAGTTCAGCCAGGTGGTTCAACACCCTGGGCTTCTCTTCATTTCATGGGCAGAGTGGCGTGTGCTAGTTGGCCTGGCTAATTTAAATGGTTTGGGGCCCACCAGATTAAACTTCTGATTCAGGCTACCTATCTCTCAGTACAGCCAGGCTGGAAGAGAGAGGAGCCATGACAGAGTCCTGAGGGGCCAGTGAGGCAGGCACACTCCTGGAGGACAGCCCTGCTGTGACAGCCTGGGTTCATGTTCTGCTTCCAATTGCAGGCTCGGTTTCTTTGCTCCTATGGTGGTTACAGCCAACCACACCACCCTCAGCACCCGTGTGTTTCCTTCCTACAAATTCTGCATTTAATGGGGATTGAAGCTTTCAAGGATCTCAAACTCAAGCATCTACCCATAGGTGCCAGGCCAGCTTCATGGATGAGTGCAGCGGGTCACGTGTGTCCACAGTCATGGCGGGGTCTCCAACAGCTGGACAGAGGGTACACTTCCCTCAGCTCAGACAGCCTTGCCTTGCAGCACTTGGAGCTCAGTACTGATCTTCCAATGTTAAAGAAAAAAAATCAGAAAATGGATTTTAAAGATGTGAGTAGTTTCAAGTCATAAAATATTATGACAACCAAACAAAATGCACTCGTGCATCTTCTGGCTAAATAGAGCGCACAGGCCTGGAGTTAACAACTTGGCTTTTAGCTAAGGTGTGACATTTTAATGGTACTTTGGGGGAAGGCACCCACATTCTGCTCCCTTGGTATCACAGGGTCTCTGTTCCTATCCCTCTAGGACACGCAGGCTGCTTCTGGCAGTCATGGTTGGAATTAGTGGCTCTAAGCCCCCAAAATGGAATTGTTCCTCCTCCAAACTGATTGTTAAACACTACACTATAAATCTGTAAAAGAAGTCCAACAAAGGTCTGATTTTCTTGTGACTACATATGTAAATGTAAATATGTATATTTCGTTATGTCAGTAAACAGCTTCTGAGATGTTCCTGCTCTGCAGGTGCCCTGCCACGTGCCCAGGTGCCACGTGCCCGGGTGCCTGTTGGGTAACCTGCTGCAAGGGAGGGTGGAGCTGTCATGCCACCTTGGCCAAAATTCCTGGCTCTCCCTTTCGTGGTTTGTTGGTGGTAACCAGGTGATAGTCATAGGCGGGTAGGTTTGTTCATGTTCTGTTGTGCTCAGGGAGGACTAGCTGGGTCAGGAAGGTGGTGGAGGCTTGACACACATTGCTTCCCTGTGTGCCGGTGTATTTGCTCTTGTGTCTTAGAGGGTGTAAATTCATTCTGAGTTTTGTCAGGATATGAGGAGGCCTAGCATGAGGGCAAGGTCCACACACAGCCTGGTACTTGGCAGCATATGAGACAGGAATGACAGGAAGCCCTTGCTCTTAGAGACCATAATTAGATCAGGATCCTTCTAAGTGTTAAGGGTTATGCTAAATCCAGCACCAGAAACTATAAGAAGAGTACACTTCCCCCTCCATGGTCTAAGGCAGGGTCTA